GAGAGAGAGAGAGAATTTAGAATTCTTTATTGGCCAAGTGTGATTGGACACACAAGGAATTTGTCTCCAGTGCATAAGCTCTCCGTGTACAGACAAGCCACAAATGATAAATCACAATTACAATCATAAAAAAAGCATTCATCATAAATCATAAGATACAACAACGCTCATTGATAGTTATTGGATACTAAATAAGCAAACAGCATAAATCCTAATAAGATAAATAAATAAAACAATATAAATCATAAGACACCAGCCACAAAGTTATAGTCGTAAGAAGACAAGGAGTTAGGCAATAGGAAAGATGAGAAGGATAATAGTATCACAGCCCTACTACCTGTAGGTACTTTTGATGGTGTTGTGGGAATTAGTTGTTTAGCAGAGTGATGGCATGGGGGAGGGGGGAGAAACTGTCCTTGTGTAGACTTGTGTTCCTTCGTTGACCCTTAGGGGAGTGAAATAGCTGACTTTCTCATTCAGAAGTCTGATTTCACCCCCTTTTAAGAGGTGGTCTCCAAAATGGCCTCCCCCTTAAGTCTCAATCATGCACATAAAGCCTTTACTTTGTTCAAGGCCAAGAAAGTCAACTCAAGGGTGTAGCACCCCGAATGCTGCTCTGAAATATGGGTGATAAGCTGCACGGCTCCTGCATGCTTCAAGAATTCTAAGTGGATGGAGGAAAAAAGAAAACAAAAAAGAAACATAGATGGGTCTCTCGGCCCTCCTTTCCCAGTGAGGAACGTCGGAGAAACCCAGATGATGTCTTTTTCAAAATAGTACGGGCTTTCCAAAAGCGGCAGGACTACAATTCCCAGCAGCCACTCAGCACAGCTAATGGAGAAGAAGGAGGTAATTCAATAGTAACAAGAAGGCTATCCATCTTTTTTTTTTCCCCTCCTCCACTGTGGAAACTCAACCAGCTTTGGACTCGACCAACTTGATTCCGTACGAAGAATTTTCTGACCAAAGATTTTTAAAAAGTACAAATTTCCCCTTAAAAAAAAAAACCTCGTATAAGAAACAGCCTTCTACCAAATCATTTAACACAGAGACAGGCAAGCTGATACTCAATGCTGGGGACCACTTCAACTCTTTCACTACTAGCCATGGTGGCTAGGAAGATGGGAGTTGAAGATCAAAACATTTAAAGGCCACTGCGGTCTTTTGGACTGGAAGTGGCGCTCCCAAATCCCAAACAGGAGCCCCAGCAACCTTACCTGGAAGGGCTGAAATCTATTCTGTGCAGATCAAGACGTTTTCTCCGGCGCTGCGGAGGTGTGAACAAGGCTCTCAGCAAGTTGAAATTAGCAGCCCTGGATTATGCAGATCAACAGGCTCTGTATTGGAAGCCAGACATTGTCTAATAGTACAGCTGGATCACGTAATCAGGAGAGTTCTTAACTGCAAATCTGGGAGAAACACGGTGAGGAAGAACCGGATAGATTAGTAGCAAGACCTGAAGGATCCAACTGGATGGACTAATTCCAGGTGTCATCTGAGGCTGGCTGAGTTGCAACTAAGGCACCCTCCCAACGAGAAGGCAGGTTGCTTTATCCTCACCTCCACTGGCATGCTGCTGTTCGATGGCTTGGTAATATTTAAATATAAATAAACCCCCCTGCAAAGGCAGCATTTCTCAAAAAGTGGTGTAAAAAAAACCAGCCATTAAAAAAAAACCTACATCCCAAAGGGTGTGTTTGTGCCTGGAAGGGCCACCTCGTGAAATAAAACAGCTAAGCTGACACTTTTAAGTCGAGGATCACCTGTGTTGTTATCCTTTTCGTCTTCTCTACTCCCCCACTCTTATTGGCACAATATTATTTATAATTAATGTATAGTCATATTATAATTAATCATGACATTATGATCATTATTACTCTGTTGCTTTGCATTTACCTTGAGAGGTTCTGCACCGGAGACAAATTCCTTGTGTGTCTAATCACACTTCCTATTCCTATTCTCCAAAGTACCTGAAGGCAGGACAAGAAACAATAGATGGAAATTAATAAAAGGGAGAGAAGCAACCTGGAATTAAGGAGAAACTTCCCGACAGTGAGAACAATTATCCAGTGGAACGACTTGCCACCACAAGTTGTGGATGCTCCAACACTGGAAGTTTTTTAAGAAGAGGTTGGACAAACCATTTGTCTGAAATGCTATAGGGTTTCCTGCCTGAGCAGGGGGTTGGACTAGAAGACCTCCAAGATCCCCTTCAACTCTGTTACTCATGTTCTATGTACCAAGAGGAAAAGCCAAACCACCTCCAACAATGCTGTCAAAAAGAAAGAAGAGGGGTGTTCCATCACTGGAGGCTTTTAAGAAGAGACTGGACAGCCCCTTAGTCTGGAATGGTGTAGTAGGGTCTCCGGCCTGAGCAGGGGATTGGACTAGATGACCTTCAAGGTCCCTTCCAACTCTGTTATTCTATTCTATTGTATTCTATTTTCTATTGTATTCTATTTCCAATTTTATTCTATTTTCTACTCTATTCCCTATTCTATTCCACTTCCTGTTCTATTCCATTTCCTATTCTATTTTATTCTATTTCCTATTTTATTTTATTCTATTCTATATTCTATTCTATTCTATATTTTATTTTATTCCCTTTTATTTTATTCTATTCTATTCCATTTCCTATTTTATTCTATTTCCTATTTTATATTCTATATTCTATTCTATTCCCTATTTTATTTTATTCCCTTTTATTTTATTCTATTCTATTCCCTATTCTATTCTATTTCCTATTTTATATTCTATATTCTATTCTATTCTATTCCCTATTTTATTTTATTCCCTTTTATTTTATTCTATTCTATTCCCTATTCTATTCTATTTACTATTTTATTCTATATTCTATTCTATTTCTTATTCTATTCTATTTCCTAATTTGGGGGGGTCCCGGGAACACCCCCTCCTCCTCCGGCGAGGGAAAGGCTGAGGAGGCCCGCCCCGTTTCCCCCTCCGAAGCGCTCCCAGGGCCTCCCCGCGGCCCAAGGCCGGCTGGGGACGATGGGGCTCGGGGTCCGAGGCCGGGCGCGTCTCCTCAGGGACTCACCAGGCGGGACGGCGCGGCTCTTTTCCCCGGGAAGCCTCTCCCTGCCGCCTCCGCCCCTGGCCGGGGAGGGAGGGCCGTGGGCCTCCCAAAGGCGCCTGGCGGGAACTCGGACCCCGCAGCCCGTCGTTCCGCCTCTCCTCAAGGGCAACGCGCTTCTTTCCCTCACCCTCCGGGAATGAAAAAAAAGGGGGACCCCCTCCCCAAAATGCCTGTTGTTTCGACCTAATTATGAGGAAAAATAAAACGCATTTACAGGAGGGAGAGGACATAAAGCGCGGCGGCGTCTATTCTATTAAATACGGCAGGGAGGCCTAAGCGTTGCTCGAGTTTAATTTGACTACCGGAACTAAGTGGGCGATAATCCTATTTCGTTTACACTGGGGGAGGGGGGAAAGGTCTTCAAACTTGGCCCCGTCATGACTTGTGGACTTCAATTCCCAGAATTCCTCAGCCAGCATGGAGGGACTAAGGCCTCGTCATGACTGGCTGGACTTCAACTCCCAGAATTCCTCACCCAGGCGTGCCAGGCTGAGGAATTCTGGGAGTTGAAGTCCAGCCAGTCATGAAAGGGCCGAGTTTGAAGATTCCCTGGTTTACAACTGTAATTGCTGCCGATGAGGGGAAAAGACGCATGCGCGCCTCCTTGACCTTCACGCGCGCGAGAGACGTTGGATTCTTTAACGGGGGAAACTTTTCAGCAACGTACGTTAAACCATAGAGACGGGCGCACGCTGCGTGCACATGCGCAATCTAACGTCGCCTTTAAAGAAGCAGATGGGCGGGCAGAACTCTCTCTCGGCTTACTGGCTCTTATTATTAATTTCGAACTGAGAGCCCCGCCTTTTTGTGGGCGGGCCAGGAATGGCAAGGAGGTGAAAAGAGACTCGCAAAGGCGGGGCCAAGGATCAAGCGCTTGCCGTTGCTATTGGCTAACGCCGTGCTTATCTGCTCGGTCAAGGAAGCGGATTGGCTGATTTGCTAGGAAGGCGGGCGAGAAGGGAAAGCAAAACAAAAACCAAGTGCAAAGTCTGCAGGGGGGACTTTTAAGGCTTGTGGACTTCAACTCCCAGAATTCCCCAGCCAGCCACGCTGGCTAAAATAAGAAAAACTGTACCCAATTCTGATTTTTTTTTTTGGGGGGGGAGAATGTTGATATTACATATGAAAATATCCTAGAAGTATGTTAGAGGCCAGTTATTTATGATTTGTGATTTAAGAATAGAAAAAAAATGATTGCTTTTCAATCAATAGCCATATAGTGACGTATCTGTTACCTGATAATTGCAGGTGCTCATATTAATAAAGAACTTCATATATGTATTTGTAAGTTAACCAATAAAATGCCCAGCTAAAGAGTTCAGAATGTTGTTTTATTTCTTAAGATGTATATATGTATTATTTCCCATGCTGGCTGGGGAATTCTGGGAGTTGGAAGTCCACAGCGCTTAAAAGTGGCCAAAGTTGGGGACCCCTGTAATTGTGATCTTTCACTTACGCGGAATTATATTACCGACTTCACATGACGTCGTTTTCAATTTAAACGAAGTACAATACACCTCCCTCCAAAAGCGGAAACCAACCAACAACGCAGAGCCCATTGTTCAAACCAATTCGAACCAATCCCGAACTTTTAAAACAATATCCCCCCCCCCAACCCTTTGCCCTTGCCCTTAAGTCCAAAAAAACTTACATTGCCTTAGCGGGAACCCAGAAAACGTCCCTTTCCCGCCCCTGAAACACGTAAATCCGAGTTTTGGGGACAGTTTCCGGGCACTCTGCACATGCTTAGTAGCTTGGCAAAAGAAGATCGGGGATGGGGGAGCTGCTACAGACCTGTTCTCCCCCCCCCTCCCCAAACACACCCTCCGCCCAGTCCCGGTTGCTTTCTAGGCGGAAAGGCTGGGCCGGCTGGGGATGATGGGAGCTGGGCTGCACCCCTGCAGGGTATGGGGAGAAGGGAGGGGCCTCCAAGCCCTCCCCCCCGCCATTCTTCTCTGCGCAGCAATGGGACCCGCCCTCCTGCCTGCCCAGAAGGCGATACCCCGCCCCTCCTCTGGCCACGCCCCCCGCCGGCCACGCCCCCTGACATCAGCTGGGCTGCCTGGCATTACGGCGGAGCCACCCGTTTCCTTGACCGCCCGCCGCAGCCGGGACCGACCCATGTGCCCCCTGGCCACCCCCGTCTCCTGCTGCTGCCCCCGCCGCCGTCGCCTGCCGCCTTCCCGGACCAGGTGAACCCCGAAGTTAGGGAGGGAGGGAGGGAGGGAGGAGCCCAGCAGGAAAGGAAAGGAGGCCAAGCAGAGTAGCCAGGGGGTCTGTTTGCTCTTGCCTCCCCCCCCTCTTTCCAACACGTGAGCAAGTCATGCAAGCAATCAGGGCTCCTTCCAAGCCTGCAGGATGCCAGGCCAGATGCCCCCCTTTCCCGAAGTTCCTCGTGGTGTTCCTCTGAGCATGTTCAGAGTCGCCTGCTTGCCTGTACCGTGTAGCTTTAGGAGCCAGAGACGGCTTTTTGCCCACTTTTCCCGTTAACAGCACTCTGTGTCTTCGGGAGCCGAGGGCGCTAGTCCTCATGATGTTTGTTGAACCCTTAGTTCTCTGGACGGGAAGGAGCTGACCCTGCAGGAGCTGCCGGAGGACATCTTGCTGCACGTGTTCTCCTGGGTGCCCAAGTGGGACCTGATCCGCCACTGCCGGCTGGTCTGCAAACGGTGGCGGTACCTAGTGGATCTTCCCGTGGTCTGGAAGCGGAAATGCGAGCGGCTCGGCTTCCCCCTGGAGCAGCCGGAGGGCGGCCTTCTGGACTGGAGGGTGTTTTTCTTCAGCCTGAGCAAGAGGAATCTCCTGAGGAACGTTTGCGGAAGAGGTTTGTCCCCCGCGGAAGGGCTCTTCGGAGCAGGGCGACGGTTCCCGGAGTCAGGCCTCCCCCCCCCAGAAACATCCATGCAGTTAAATCCACACGCACCCGTTTAGGAACAGGGAACCCGCTCTGTTTTTGTGCAAGATGGGTGAGGATGGAATGCTTCCCCCTGAGAAGCTAGCTTTCAGCATGCAGGGAGTGTTTCAAGGATGCTATTCTTTCCTTGACGGTCCAAGAAGCCGTCGGAGGGAAAGGAGACACACAGGCGAGAACTGGCCAAAAGCGGGTGGGCCAATTTTCAACACTTGGCGATCTCTTGTTGAGTTGCCTTTTTTTTTCTCCTTTTTCCTCCCCTGCAGCGGGGCTGAGATATTGGGAACTGCGTCCCGCCGACTGGATGGCCGACTGGATGCCCGAGGACGTCCCCAGAGGGTTCAAGAGGCATTTTCTCAAGATATTTAAAAAGAAAAAAAAATCTCCTCTTCCGGATACGGTCTGGACTTGCTTCGTGCCAACCTGGAACCAGGATCGTGGTCTGAGGTATTTTAAACTGGGTTACAGAGTCCAGGGCTCATCCGGGCCTTTGTCCCCGGAATTGGGAGGCAGTACCCGGTCCCCAGCTTTGGTTAAGGGGCAGATTTCCCCCCCCCCAAGTCCAAACCAGGTTTGTGCAAAGAGTCCGAGGTTGTGTATGTCTGCAAGAGGGTGGATTTAGCTCAGGAGCTTCTAGCTGCCGACCCTCTCCGGCTCCAGGGCCTTCCTCCGACGAGGATGGCCTTTCGGCATTTCGACCTCTGTTTAGGTTTTTTGTGAAGAAGACACAGCGGGTCACTTTGAAGGACAGAGGAATCGCGAACTGGATGATGGACGAAATGAAGCCCAGAATCATAGTGAAGGATTGGTGAGTAGATTGCAAAAATAAAATAAAAAAATAAATTTTAAAAAAAGGAGCGGGCGCAAATTGTACGATGACGAATGGGGTTCTCTGTCTTCAAAATGCGCCAAATGTTCTCTTGACAACTCTGCTTCCCCAAATGTTGTATTTCGCTCAAGAAGTTAAGTTTCTAGTCCTTATTGCGTGCCAAATAGGCTCGGGCGGTTAGGCTGGGTTCTTCTTGCCCAAAGTTGAGAGAGCAAGGATAGCTAGTTAAATGTGATTTTCCATCTTATCGTTCTCGAACTGGGCTCTCCAATTTGGACTGCTTTAAAGACCTGTGGACATGGCTGGCTGGCTGGGGAATTCTGGGAGTTGAAGTCCACGAGTCTTAAAGTAGCCAAGGTTGGAGAGTCCTGTTTTAGAGGAAGTAGGTTGGGGCTGGAGGGAGATATATATATATTTTTCCCAACATTAGGCTGTCCAAAGAGTTGGGTTTTTGGGGTTTTTTTGCCTCATTCAATACCCTCTACATTATTTCAGGCACAAAATGGCCTTTTGAGTGCAGCCAGTTGATGCTTGTTGTCTTCTGTCCTGTTTTTCTCCTCCGTAAAAAAAAAAGGTATTTTAATGTTGACAATTCCCACTATCAGTTGACGGTGAAGCTGCTCTCTTCTGATGACCAAGTCCTCCAGGATTGCTGCAAGATGTTTGAAGTTCGAGAACAGGTGCCCACTGTGGAAGAATGGCGGGAGGTAAAATAAAATACGGACATCCCCTTTGCCTGAAATGGTATAGACCAGGGGTGGACTTCAACTCCCAGAATTCCTCAGCCAGGCACCCCTGGTATAGACTCTCCTGCTTGAGCAGGGGGTTGGGCTAGATGACCTCCAAAGGTGTCCCTTCCAACTCTTTATGTTCTAGCTCAGGGGTCTTCAAACTTGGCCCTTTGATGACTGGTGGACTTCAACTCCCAGAATTCCTCAGCCAGTGTGCACGCTGGCTGAGGAATTCTGGGAGTTGAAGTCCACCAGTCATCAAAGGGCCAAGTTTGAAGACCCCTGGTATCGACTCTCCTGCTTGAGCAGGGGGTTGGGCTAGATGACCTCTAGCTCAGGAGTCTTCAAACCTGGCCCTTTCATGACTGGTGGACTTCAACTCCCAGAATTCCTTAACCAGTGTGCATGCTGGCTGAGGAATTCTGGGAGGTGAAGTCCACCAGTCATCAAAGGGCCAAGTTTGAAGACCCCTGTTCTAGCTATTAAAAGTAAATCCTTGGAAACAAAACGTAGATTTGCATTTTACAACAACTTTTTCCCCCTCCCCTCGTCTCCTATTCCCCTCTTCTCCAGACCTAACAACTCCTCCTTTATTTCTCTCCTCTGTAGGTTTCGTACATCTTTGAAAATTACCCGCCCGGCGTGCGCTATGTCGATTTCGAACACAGAGTGGGCTGGCGGTCCGAAGTGAAAGTCACCAACAGCAGCATCATGGTTGATTTAGTATGATGGGTGGGGGGGCAAGGCTAGCCCAAGGCTGTTGATTTGGCACTTTTAATGCTTTGATATCAGTTTAGAAAGGAAGGAATTTTCTCTGCTTTAAATATTCTCCAAAGCTGTGTATGTTTACACTTGCACACAACCCATGGACGCTGCTGATCATTCTACGGAACAATGGCAATATTTCCAGATCACGGTGAAGGGGGAAGAGCAAGCCGAAAAGATTATGGAGGTAATTTCCACGTTAAGTTTATCCTGTAAAGTTCAGTCCAAAAAAGGCTCTTTTGCATACACTCATTGCGTGACCCGAACGCGGGCTTCACAAGCAACGATGGGACAAGCGAAGAACAAACATGAAGCTAGAATATATGCAAGCAACAAGGGAAATTTGATTTTTTTTTCGTGTGTATGTTAAATGCCTCGATTGCGACTTGCTAATTATCAATATTCACTATTTATACTTTGCTTTCTTCCCATACTGTTTCCTTTGGGGCAAATTCAGAGGCGGTTTTGGTCTGAAATATATTAAAAGCAAGCCCTCTGAAGCTCCAGGCCAAATTGTCAAAGGCCTAAAAACTCTTATTTTAGGCAGTTGTCGGAACAGCCTAATGGAAGGCTGGTCCTTTTTTGTGGGGTAAAGGATGTAGTTAAACGTGATGTTTAAAAAAAATGTGGAAGGAAGCCATCTTTTCTTTGTAATTCCCCCTTGCCACGAATGTCTGCCAACTCTCTGTTTCCCGCACTTGAAAACACTTTGTAAATGTCTCGTGTCTTTTACTGTCATCTGATGCTTTTGAATTATTTTGTAAAAATTAAAAGTCACTTGGGATTATTATTTTTTTTTAAACGGTTCCGGGCTGCTTTTGAATGCCTTCTTCGAATTCTGTGAAAATGGGTATAAAAGGGGGAAAAAAAACCACTCCTTAGAATGAATGTCTAGTTGACAAAAAAAAATGACAATATTGGGATAAATCAGGAACTCTGTAAGAGAGCCACTGTTTGTTTCTGTGTGTTAGCTGCCCTGACCGAAACACGAAGTTTGCACTTTGAAGCTTTTATCAAAAGAGGAAACGGTTAAAGTTGACTCACGCAACGGCCGCAGAAGGAAGTAATTTTAGACACCTTTCTCTAAGATGGACATCATTTTTCTGCTAGACCTCATGAACTTTAGCCTACTGTCTAATCTTCAGAGGTAGACTGTGGTACTGCTAGTCCTCATGTTCATTTAGTGACCGTTGAAAGTCACAACAGCACTGAAAAAGTGATTTACGATCATTTCTCCTACTTGCGACCTTTGTAGCGTCCCCATGATTACGTGATCAAAATTCGGGTGCTTGGCAACTGATTCCTACTTACGACTGTTGCTGGGTCCCCAAGTCATGTGATCCCCTTTTGGCAAACCTTCCGACAAGCAAAATCAACGGGGAAGGCAGATTAACTTATTAACTGTGGTGATTTCACTTCACAGCTCCGGCGAGAAAAATTGTAAAGTGGGGCAAAACTCAACTTAGCGACAGAACTTTTGGACTCGGTTGTCGTAAGTTGAGGACTCCCCGTACTGTATGGGCGTCCTCTTAAAGGCTGAAAGCGATGCAACGAACAGGATCTAAATTTGAATTGCTAGCAAGCAAGCCCAGCTTTATTTTCGAGGGAAGAGAGCACTCTGCACGTCTGTTCGAAAGGGCGCTGGCGTGCAAACCAAGTTTTAATGCCCGGGGAAAGTTTGGCTAAAGCGTCTTCAAACTCTAAAGCAGAGGGTCTGTCTTCCTAAGCTGCTGTTGCTTAGAAGCTGGTTCCCACGTTGCAGCTGTGCGGAGAGGCCTTTCCTAACTTCCTTGCAAAACCCGAGCAGTCCCTATCGGGTTTTCAAAACACACAATAAATCCAAAGTCCATCACAGCTTGCTCTCCAGAGTGCGTCAGCATCCAGGAACCAAACAAACCGCTGCCTCAAAGGTCCACGTGGTATCAAGCAACAGGCGTCATTCTATGTAAATGAGCCAGGGAGTTGGAAGTCCACAAGTCATCAAAGGGCCAAGTTTGAAGACACACACACACTCACACACACACGGATTTACACCAGCAGTGAGCCGTTTGTACTGCAAGCTTTGCTATCCTGCTTTACCACCCACCCCCATTGACAACCCCAAATTGACTGGAGGGGGGGGCAGATCATATCAGATGATCGTACAGATGTGGAATGGAGGAGAGAGAGCTACGGCCAGCTCGGGGGTCTTCAAACTTGGCCCTTTGATGACTTGTGGACTTCCAACTCAATTCTGGGAGTCAAAGTCCACAAGTCATCAAAGGGTCAAGATTGAAGACCCCCCCCCTGGTCTAGCTGCTGAATCCCCCTCCATGCATGCTCCAGAGCAAAGCTCTTTTTTTTCCATGGCTGTTTTCACAGCTGCAGGGCTGGTTAGGGCAAAGTTTGGGAGGGGTGTGTGTGTCTGTGGGTGTGTGTGTTTGTGTGGAGAGTGTTGAACTATTTCCCAGCCTCCCTTGCCCAATTCTCATCCCCACCACGGCTAGAAGAGGGGGTCAAGAGGCAGGGGGACAAGGAAGCATCCATCCATCCATCCATCTCGCTAATGTAGGCTTTCCACTTTTAACATCTGACTCGGCTCACAAGCTGAGACGTACGTTAAAGGTCTGGAAGGGTGCCCCACATCGGGAGGCGGTTGACTGCCTGGTAAATTTCCACAGCATCCGGGAAGCTTTTGGGCCAGGATGGAAGACGGACATGCGTCACCGAGCCCGAGCAGCATTCCTTGCAGACATGCCCACGCCCCCACCGCTCTCTCTCTCCCCCCCCCAAACTCCATCCCACCCAGCCAGCCTCTTAAAACAGCAAAGCAGGAAGCGCCTTCCGTTCCCTCCACCGCATCTTTGCAAAGTTCACTTTTAGTTGCAACTGCTTGTTGCTGATTGGGACCCGAGACAGGGCGACTTCCTTCCCTGCCTCTTCCTGCCAAGCCAGGTAAAAGCCCAAAGAGTTTCCCCGCTGAGAGCTGGATTCCCCCCATCCACCACCCCCCGCCAGGCAAGCGAGAAGGGAGGGCCATCCAGGACTTGGATCTTCAGGAGTGGAGCCCAAGCAAAAGCCCCCCCCTCCCCTTCTCCCCAGAGACATCACTTAGGGGGAGGCTGAAGGAAAAGGGGGGTGGAGGATGGAGGGAGGACTGTTGATAGGGCTGAAAAGGAGCTGCAAGAACATCTGCCAGCTTGGGATTGTTTATCACCCCTAGGCGTGGCCCGCTCGCTCGGTGTTTCCTCCCCTCCTGCGTCCATCCCTCTCCAGTCCTCCTTGGCCCAAACCATGGCAGGCGCTCCAGAGCTGCCTGATGACATCCTGCTGGCCATCTTCTGCCTGCTTCCGATCAATGAGCTGATCCAGAACTGCCGCCCGGTGTGCTCGCGGTGGCGGGATGTGGTGGACAGCCCTTTCCTCTGGAAGTACAAGTATCAACAGGACGATGCCGCCCTCAGGATGCCAAAGACCTTCTACATTTTCTGCCACATGGAGAAGAACCTAATCAAGAACCCTTGTGGTGATGGTGAGTCCCCTCTTCAGCTGGGGGGGGGTATGCGAAGGTCACGCTGGGGGTCTGAGATGGCTTCTGAAGACCAAGGCCATGAGGTATCTGGTCTAGCAGAAGGCCAAAGGCCACCCTGGTGGCTGAAAAGTCCGAGGAACTCTCTTTCCTTCTCCCAAAGGTGTTTTTTTTCCAAGAGGCAACTGGACTATATTTTTCTTTGAAGACGTTTCGCTTCTCATCCAAGCAGCTTCATCAGTTCTGATCGGACGGTGGGGAAATGGGAGGCTTGATATTCCTTGCAGACCAGCTGGTCATTTGCACTGTTTTGGAGCGTCGTTGAGGCCACTTGGAGGCTTGTCTGTGTCCGATGTAGCGCAAAATGGGCGTGGAGCCTTCTTGGAACTGAGGAACAGCCCTCTCTCAACAAAGGGGGAGGGATACGACATTGTCTATCTCCAGTCTACAACATGGTCCTTTCAGCAGTTCCAAAAAGGCCCCCCACCCATTTGCACCACTCAGGTGACCCTGAGGACACAGTGGCCTCAACGACGCTCTAAAAGGATGCAAATGACCAGCTGTCTGCAAGGAGTATCAATCCTTCCCTTCCTCACCATCCGGTCAGAGCTGAAGAAGCTTCTTGCATGAGAAGCGACACGTCTTCAAAAGAAAAACAAGAAAGTCCAGGTACCTCTTGAAAAAAGCGCTTTTGGGACACAGCCATGACCTGGTTGACTGAGAATCTCCATAGAGACTCTCGTTCCTTCATTTTTTTTTCCCTATCTCTTTCTACAGCTTGGCAGTAGAGTGGGCACGAAGGCTCTAGGGCAGGGATGTCAAACTCAATTTCATTGAGGGCCGCATCAGCATTGCGGTTGCCCTCGGGGGGTGGGTGGGGTGTGTGAGTGCGGCCTACTGGGTGGGCGTGGATGGAGTGGGTGTGGCCTACTGGGTGGGCGTGGCCAGCTCTACATCGTTCGCGTCAAGGGTGCCTGTGGGGGCCTGGGCAGGAGTGGGACAGATCTGAGGGTCTCTGGCAGAAGGGGGTGGGACCGGGGCAAGCGCCAAGGCATGGTCCATTTCTTCATTCCTCTCAAAGGGTGACCCCTCCCCAGCATGCACCCAGGGGGCGGGGCTGACACGGCAGCGGCTGGTTCCTCGCTGTTTCTAGACGGCCTTGTGGAGCTAAGACTGAATGCGTTTCAGCATAGATGGCCACCACAAAATTGTACATTGGCTCCCGGCTGGCCTGGGCCAGGACCAAGGCAGCGGGGGCCGTTCCCTCACTGTTTCCAGAATGGCTTCGCGGGCCACATGAAACCACTTCGCGGGCCGCATCCGGGCCCCGGGCCTTGTGTTTGACATGTCTGCTCTAGGGTCAACGTAGGGTTGGGTGGAAAAAAACAGTTTTAAACAAAAGCAGTGGTGGCGCTAATAATAATTATAGAAGATCTTTTTAACCATTGAGGATAGCCTTTTTACATTCTGACCGGGTTCTTCTCTCTCTCTCTGGGGACCGATATGAATTACGTAAATAAAGACGATATTCATTCCGTCTGGGAATTCTGGACACAGAGCTGCCCAACTGCTTTACCGTTTGACCGTTCACGCACCTCCCACTTCCCCGTTTGGGTTTGATTTAGCGGAAGGGGTGAATTACAGAGCGTGCGCTTTGTAAGCTCAACCTCGACGTCCGAGCTGAAATCCAAACCACCTGCAAGCTCGTTCCACGAAGCAGCAGCGTCAAGACTTAAAAGAGAAATCAATGTGCGAACGGGGGGAGGGGCGATGATTCTCCTTTGACTCCCTGTGGCTTTTTCACAGAAGGACTGGACTTTTGGGATACGGCCACGCCTTCAAGTGGGCAGTGGAAAGTTAAAGATGTCTTTGAGAAGGATTTGGCAAGGATCCAGGCCTGGGACTTCCTTCAGAGGAATATTTATATAAAAGACGAACACATACCCTATCAAGACGTTGAAAAATGTTTTGCTGTGTATAACGGGTGAGGATCATCGTTACGTTTATTCTGACCTTTCATTGACGGGGAAGGGCTCTTAAGTTCTTCCTGTGGGAATTTCTGGTGCGGTGGCATTTGGCAGGCATGCTAGACTCCCTTCTCTCCAAGTGATACAAAGGGGTTTTTTCGCTTTATAGGAGTTTCTTCCATCTAACCAGACTTTTGATTTTTAGGAGTATTCAACAGAATAATGCTCCCATTAAGGAAGGACGCTCCCATTAAGATTTAAATCAGGCAGGGTGAATTCTGCTCTGTCCAACGGGGGCTCCCAAATGGCTGGTCTACTTTCTCCTGATTTTTGTTCAGTTCATTAAACGCCACGGCTGAAAAATACTTCCTGTCTTAAACTCCTGTTCAGCGCTTAGGAACTTAAAAAGGCCTGTCTCGTCCAATTAGACCCGGCTTCCCTTTGCTCCAGTATCCAACGTCTCGTTAAGACCCAAGCTATTAACTGACAAAACTCTCCAACTTCTGGAAGCGCAGGAGTGTCTTTCTGAATTGTTGTAATTTCTGCGGTAGGCTCTGCACAAAGTCTCAGCTCATCACTCTGAAGGATGAAGGTTACTGGGATCAGCTGATGGATAACGGGAGACCCACCATTGTGGTGAAGGATTGGTAAGGGCCAGAACGTCAGCTCCTGGTGTAAGGGGGCAGGGAACATATGCAACTAGAGGTTAAGTCTTGAAAGATATAAAAATGTGGGTTTAAGGTGCAGGGTTCCTTGAATCTCTAAGGGATCTGCTAGCGTTTAAAGATTCATATATTGAAGTCAACCACAACCACTATGAATGGGACCGCGGTAGTGGGTCAAGCTTGGTTGATGCTAAGCCTGGGATTTCTCCAACGATGGGATTCCCAGCTAGATGCAGCAGAATGCCCTTCCCATCACAAGAGCCCAGAAAGCCTGCACTGTGGTAAGAAGACGGCAGGAATTTGGAAGTTCAGTTGAGGCTGCACTAGAAGACAAAAGTCCCTTAACTGGCTGTCAGGAGGTGGAAAGTCATCTTGACCGGGAAGGGTTCTTAGTTCCTCCTGTAGGAATTCGTGTCTTTGGGGCAGTCTAAAAGCCCCGGTGTCCCAGTGGTTAGAATGCGGTATTGCAGGCTAATTCTGCCTACTGCCAGCAATTTGATCCTCACCCACTGTCTGGAGTTCGATCCTAACCGGCTCAGGGTTGAACTCAGCTTTCCATCCTTCCGAGGTCGGTAAAATGAGGACCCCAGATTGTTGGGGGGCAACAGGCTGACTCTATAATCTGCTTAGAAAGGGCTGCAAAGTACGCTGAAGCGGTATATAAGTCTCGGCGCTATTGCTATTCCAGAACCAAGTCAAATGGCCGAGGTTGGAGACCAGGAATGCTAGTCAGAATTGGCACCGGAGCTCCTGTCCATTGTATTGTTCAGTCTCCGAGCTGCTGCTCCTCAAGAAAGCTCTTGGCCAAGCCTTGCCTGGCCATCCTGGGACAAGGAGGTGCTGGGTTCAAACCTTTTCTCTCTACTTTCCCAACAGGTTTTACAGCAGCTTCAACTGCCACTACACGTTTTGTGTGAAGCTGCTGTCCGAGGATTTCCAGGTCATTCGAGAGTATCACTCGAAGAACAAATACAAATACGACTCGGAGTACGATGATGAATGGCGTCAGGTAAGAGAAGGGGACCTCCAGGGATGGCTGCCCTCTTTCCCACCCAGAGCTGAGGTTGGTCTCACAGCCAACTCATATTGGCCATCTCTCTCTCTCACGCGCGCTCTCTGTTTGGCAGGTCTCGCACGCTTTTCACAACGTCCCTCCTGGAATCCGTCACATCTTCTTTCAGCACCAAGGCCAGCATTTCAACTGGCAGCAATCGAGTTGCGGCACCAAGCTCATGAAGTGCTTGAGGATGGCCAAAGAGAGGGGCAAATCGAAAAGAATGAGGATCACCAAAACGAGCATCACCATCGGACCGTTCTCCCTAGACAAGGCCATGCACAACAGACACGGCCGAGACATTAGACACTGTCACTACAGTGAGTGTCCCTGCCGGGGGAATTTCATCCATTGGTCTGTATCCAAGAGAAGCTTGAGTATCTGCAGCTGACCCAGGTTCAAACGTTCTCTGCTCTTTTCTTAGGTTGCACCCGAGAGGGCAGACACAAAAGCAGAGGTGTGTCCTTGCGACTTTTTTCTCCCCCCAGAAGTTAAAGTGAAGCAGCGGCACTGGACACAGGGCGAAGTGGGCAGGAGATAGTTTATCTGCTTGTCATTCCCCCTGAAACAGAGCATTTTTTTTTTAAAAAAAAGAAAGCACGTCCAGAATCCAGACCGTACAACATGATGGACTTTATTGGTCACCCAAAAAAAAAAATGTAGGCTACCACGAGGCATCGAAACACACAAATGATTTGTGCGGTTTGCTTGGTATGTCTTTCGTTGGGAAAACCCTTTGCCCTCCGAAGCTTTTGAACATCTCAGCGGCTATTTTGGGGGGGTCTCCCCCAAGTGCACACGGAATCAGAACGCAAGGAAAGAGAGTGAGGGAACGGGTGGATATTCTACCAGAGGCTAAATTCTCTTTTCCCTCTGAAATGAGATTATTATTTCTTCTTCCACCCTTGCAAATGTTGTAACATTCGATGTCAAGTACTTTTATTGTCCTTTCATTTTCCGGGCTGTTATGACAACGGCCCGGATAATAAAATCTTCTGCAAGGCTCCTGTTCGTGCCGGCTACATCGCTGCTACAACAATTGCCACTCCATGCAATCTTCAAAACATGCTCCAAATGTGGCTTCACAAACTTCAACTGCAGTCTGGCTGGCCTAAGTATTGGCCAGTCAGGTGAAGTAATGGCTGATTCGTAGGCATTCTGCATTTTCCCCACACCTAAAGCAAGGCGATCTGGGGCCCGGAAATGGCTTGACATTACCTGGACATGTCTTGGAGGACCTGTCTTGTAAAGGGAGCCTTCCTTTTTTTTCTCCTCCTCCTCCTCCTCAGCTCCCAAAGTTTGAGAAAAGCTTTACCCTCCACCCTCGAGCCGGAGTCCATCTTTACTCCCCATCACTTCTGGGAAAGATTGCCGGGGGGATCCCAGAGCCCAGAGAGGGAGCCAGGAAAAGGGTTGGGCACAAGTCTTCTGTTACCAGAAAGGGCACCTGGAGGAGAAGAGACCAGTCATCAAGCAGTGAAACAACTTGGCTGGGAGTTCCTACACAACTGAGACAGCTTTACTTTTGAAGTCCAGCTGAGCTTTCTTTGGGGATTTCTGAGAAAAGTATGGCATGTAGGGAAGGGAAGGGAAGGGAAGGGAAGGGAAGGGAAGGAAGAAAGGAAGGAAGGAAGGAAGGAGATGGGAATGGGAAGGAAGGCAAGAGGAAGGAAGGAAGGAAGGAAGGAAGGAAGGAAGGAAGGAAGGAAGGAAGGAAGGAAGGAGAGGGGAATGGGAAGGAAGGCAAGAGGAAGGAAGGAAGGAAGGAAGGAAGGAAGGAAGGAAGGAAGGAAGGAAGGAGATGGGAATGGGAAGGGAGGAAGGCAACAGGGAGGAATGGGAATGGGAATGGAAAGAGAAAGGAAGGAAGGAAGGAGATGGGAATAGGAAGGAAGGAAGGAAGGATGGGAATGGGAAGCAAGTAAGTAGGTAAAGGAAGGAAGGAGATAGAAAAGGAAGGAAGGAGATAGGAATAGGAAGGAAGGGAGGGAGGAGATGGGAATAGGGAGGGAGGGAAGGAGGGAGGAGATGGGAATAGGAAGGAAGGAAGGGAGGGAGGGAGGAGATGGGAATAGGAAGGAAGAATGGGAAGGGGAAGGAAGGAAAAAAGGAAGGGGAAGGAAGGAAGGAAGGAAGGAAGGAAGGAAGGAAGGAAGGAAGGAAGGAAGGAAAACTATCCCACTGTCAGCTTGGATAGGAGAGATGCAGCCATGACAGAAGGAGGGAAGGAAGGAAGGAAGGAAGGAAGGAAGGAAGGAAGGAAGGAAGGAAGGAAGGAAGGAAGGAAGGAAGATTATACGAGAGGAGAAAAAGAAATGTTAAAATTCCAAGGGTTTTTTGTTGGCACTCAAAAATTCTTTTGGATCTCCAACTGTGAAAAAGAAGTAAAATATCCTCCCTTGTGCAGCTGGTAATGAACCATGTGATTCGCTATGACATGCCAATGACGGAGAGATGGCTTCAACAGGGACGCAGGATCAAGCCTTCTGCAGCAAGGCCGGCTGATCAGAAGCCCTCCTCTCAAACGAGAGGCCGTAATATCTTTTTCATTCGTCGGTGACATTTACGGACCATCTTTCCACCCAGGTCACCAACCTATATTTTACAGATAAACAGGAGTCTGCTGTGGCTCCTGCTGGCGGCTTTTCCGTTACTCTCTGGCTGACACCGTTAAGAGGGGCAGAAAAGTCCTTTGGGAAAGCTCCAGAAAGGCCTTCCTTAAGTTGGGTTCCAATTCTATGTTTCAAGAAATAAATAGGACTCCTGGCTACGACTGCAAACTGACCTCTGCATTTCCGTGCTTGACACACGTGGGAAACTTTAAATTAATTTAGCGAGGCTCTTGGCCCCGACAGGCTCAGCGTAAGGCAAGAAGGCAAAAGGCCAGGTAACTAACTTCAGGTAACAGGGTAACAAGTTAGAAAAGTCTTCTAAGGAGATCCTATGCTATCCAGAACTCGGTTCTCTCAATGGGCAAGCCACGGGTCCTTCCCAAGGCTCACCTGGGAAGCTCCCCACACACTCACCATCCGATGTAGCACTGGCAAAGGTTCTCGTGGGAGGTGGCCTGCTTGATGAGCAGCTCCACCTGGGTGGGCACGTCCAGGGTTTCGTCGTGGGAGAAGTCTCGTCCTTGGCAAGAGGAGAACAAGGGAAGCGTTAAAAGAGCGTGGGCCTTTCTCGGCCAGACAGGCAGTGGGGTTGAATGGAAGCAACAACAAGAACCGGTAGTTAACTATTCCATCAAAGGGGTCTTCCTGTTCGGGATGGGGGATTTTTCAGGCCTTCCAGAACTCGCTCGTTGCCGTCAAGTCTGGGTTGACTCCCTCATTTTCTGTTCCAATCTCACATCATCTAAGTCAGGGGTCCGGGCCGCGGCATGCCAGCAACCGGTCCGCACAAACAAGCAAAGCCCCATCCGCGGGATGCCGGCAGCACACAAAACCACGCACCCTCCGGTCCGCGGAAAAACCTCTCTCCACGGAACCGGTCCCCGGTGCCCCAAAGGGTTGGGGGCCTCTGATCTAAGTGCAACTATTTCTGACTCGTCTGCTCCTCCCCCCCTTTCCACTATCGCCCCCCCCCCCGGATGACAGCGAAAGGTTGCAAATTCTTTGCGACAGGATCTTCTACAAGATGACGCGGGATTTACTTACCTGTGAGTTTATCCCGGACTCTGTTGATAATCTGAATAGCTTTCTTATTTAGGGCTTCTGGTTTCACAAGGCCGTCCCCGACTAGATAAGATAAGATAAGATAAGATAAGATAAGATGAGAAGATAAGATAAGATAAGATAAGATAAGATAAGATAACCTTTATTGTCATTTTTTTATTGTGGGTACGACGTCACAAATCAAAAATGAAATTTAGTTGCCCACTCTCAAAGTGAAATCACATATTAAAAAGAAAAGAAGTGAGCCATGGTTAAATTGGAAGATCCCGAGCAATCCGTCTGCAGTTACCTATTTGCATCGTGGCTAGAATTCTTAAAAGCCAGTTTTCTCGATTCTGATGCAAAGGGGAAATGATCCTATCCGTAACAAGGTTCCTTGGTCCAGTTCTGAAGATCCCAACCTTGTATATTAACAAAGCAAAGAGGAACCAGAGAATTTTCTTTGAAAAATAAGGTTGGGGGGGGAAAGAACCTTGAAGCTTTTGAATTGTAGACCAAAGTGGATCAAGAGGGTTTGGTGATTGTGACTATAACAATATTGTTTTTTTTCCTTTTAACATTAGTTTACTCAAAGGAACTGCAACAGTAAATTGAGGGCAGAATAAGACACTTGTACATGAAAGATACAGTGAGGAACCATGAAACCATGAAACCTCGTGATGGCCCTTAATGCATGTGCTGGTCCAGTATATAGCTAGCTTAGGAAACTGTGTGTAGAGCAAGTAGCATTTTAAGGGTTAAAGTGCTGCCCCTTAAGGGCGGCATTCTGGGAAATGTAGTTTAGTTGTCACATGATTCATATTCTGTCCGTTTACGCAGGTAAAAAGAGAATAATTCTCCTCCATCTTCACAAAGCTTACATGCTGCTGGTTGAACTTAGACAAAGAACTTTTACAGCCTTGGCATGTAACAGGAAGTCCCCGTAATAAAGACACAAGACCCTCCCAGGGGCCAATTCGAACACAGATTTAACCATGTAACAACTAAACTACATTTCCCAGAATGCCACCCTTAAGGGGCAGCATTTTAACCCTTAAAATGCTACTTGCTCTACACACAGTTTCCTAAGCTAGCCATATACCGGACCAGCACAATGCAGATCAACTTGATAAAGTGTGATCATTCATCTTATTCAGGGGTAGTCAACCTTGGCTCTTTTATGACTCGTGGACTTCAACTCCCAGAATTCCTGAGCCAGCACAGCTGGCTCAGGAATTCTGGGAGTTGAAGTCCACGAGTCATAAAAGAGCCAAGGTTGACTACCCCTAATCTTATTATTGTAAGTTGCTTCGTGTCGTACATTTTGAAGCCGAGCGTCGATTTTAAAGGCGTAAAGCTATTTTTTTTAAAAAAAATATCTGGCGTCTTAACCGGAAAAGATAGGGTCTCTCCAAACTTACTGAAGGAATGGATGGACTCAGGCACTGTTGTTCCAGCTTTCTTGTGGGCCGTTTCACCCAGTTCCACGCTGTCCAGCATTTCTTTTAAAAAGGAGGGAAGCGGTTAGATAAAACCGTTAATATTCTGCTCCTGACATTTCTTGTGCTACGTAAGACGGATTCCAGCAGCCAAAGAGACGTAGGCTGCTTGGGAGAAAGAGAGAGAATTTTAAGTGCTAGGTCAGTGTGTTCCAAGATGGTAAAAGAGGGAAGGTATTTAGGGGGAAAGAACGAAATCTGTTCTAGCCACCTGCTCCTCTCCATGTGCCCTCTTTCCCTGCCCCTTCAACAGAGAGGGGAAGGTCAAATGTCAAGGGGTCAAAAGCTTTCCAAAGGGAAAAGAGAGGTACTTGAGTATTGTTCCCATTCAACGGGGAAGCAGCGTAGAGGAAAAACAGAGGACGCTTCGGTCCGTGCTCACCGACTGACTGACAAGCAGAGTACGAATCCGTGCGGGTCCGAGATCGTTTATTACCTTTGGTGTTTGCTGCAAAGAAAGAGAGAGGGTCTTTCCAGGTCCCTCCCACCCCCCACAATAGGAGCACGTAAAAGCAACGTGGCTTATTGTAGGAGCCAACTAGTTCTGTAGGGGCGTTTATATAAACCCTAAGAAGCTTTTGTTTCTTTTATCCAAATTACACAACCTCAACTAAACAACAACCCAGATATCATTATTTTTTTTACGTAAACAGACACTGGAAGAGGAGGGCCCTGTAAGTTCTAGCCAATCAGGTCGCCCCTTTCCCGATTAACAGAAGGCAGAAGCTTTCCTAAGCTATCGCTCCCAGGGGCCGAAGCCCCCACAGCTTGCCTTCGGACGTTGTAGGGGCTTCGTCGCTGGAGATTTTAAAGAAGAGACTGGACAGGCTACAGGGTCTCCTGCTTGAGCAGGGGGCTGGACTAGAAGACCTCCAAGGTCCCTTCCAGCTCTACTCTGGTTGACTGAAGGGAGTTGCAACTCACAAAAGCTTTTTTTTTAAAAAATGGGCGAGTCAGGTCACTTGCAGCCAGACTCTTGATTTTTAGGCTAATCGGTATTTTAGGCTGATTTGGGGGGGGGGTGTTCTGCCTTGGAGAGAGAGGGGGGAGTCCTCCAGGCACAGTCTTTTCGTTTCAGGCCAACGTACTGTCCATCAGCCTCCAGTTGAGCAGGGGATCGTATACGAAGGCTTCCAATACTGCCATGACGCTGTCTTTGTGCTCGCGTAGGACTTCCATCACAGTGTGGCAGGTGATGCGGTAGTTCCCATCCAAGCCAGTGACCTAAGGGGGAGGGAAGGAAAAGGTGGGAAAGTTCAGCAAAGGGGTCTGATCCAAAGACCCTCTGTCACGCCTCCGTCGGAGCCTGAATCTGCAGAGGAAAATGAACTGGAAGGGGACACTATGGAGGCGGAGGGAGAGGTGTCTGTGGCTTCAGAGGATTGTGGGGAAGAGCAGGCCGAGGCAGGCCAGGGCCCTTCAGGATTGGGACAGGAGGAACAGGAGAGGCAGAGTTCAGGCGATGAGCAAGGGCCACCCCCCACCTGATCCTAGAGCACGGAGAGTGGAGAGAAGGAGGGAACAACGCAGGCAGGCTCAACTACTCGGGAGGAGAGCGTCCCGCCCCTCTCCACAAGGCACACCTGGAGACTGAGATTTAAGGAACAAACACTGATTCCTTGGAGTTGTGTGTGTGTTGTTGCTGATCTCTTGTTCTGTGACTGCTGCTTGGAAACCTGGACACTGACCCTTGGACTGGCTGACAACGTTGCTTGGATGTTTAAGGAACTCGGACTGTATTTTGGCTCCCCTACTGAAACCGCTCAGGCGAGCGTGTATTCACACAGACTTGTTAGGTTTACGATGTATGTGTCATTCCTTGTTATCTCCGTGGCCTTGAGTAAATTCCTCTCCTAAATCAGACTGTATGGGAAACTACTGGCACCCAGAGGTGTGTGTGTCTGTCTTCCTTTGTTCGGAGGCTTGCCAGAACCGTGGGAGCATTTGGGGAAAATTTGGAGCAATTAAAGGGCAGTTTGAATGGCCAGCTGACTGCATTGCCTCTGTGCTGTGTCCTGGGTCATCACACCCTCCACGTCGTAGAGGTCAAGGTTAGGAAGGGTTTGTAGGCATCCTGGTGGGCAAAAGGTGTGCAGGACCTGGCTTGATGTAAGTGGAATGTCCCTCTTCTGACTGGTCAAACCTGAGATACCAATCAGGATTTCTGGTCCGTATTTACCAGCAATAATGGTTACGTCCTAGCAACATTTTCCTGGAGGGAGTGTCTGGAATGATGTGACGTGGTGGGGGGAATGTGAACAGCAATGCAACCCCATCCAAACAGGGAAGGATGAAAAAAATGTTTAAAAATATATCAAGCCATTGTTGGAAACGTAAACAAAAACCAGGCACTTATTATTATCTTTGGTGGACGTGCTCTAAAGCCAAAAGATTCCGGTTAAGAATACATACTGTGGTTAGAGAAAATGACGAAAAAACTATATATAGAGCTTAAGCCAGAATTATTTTTGTAGGCATAATTGTAGGAAATTACGAGAAAAGAGTGCGTCTATTTAATTTGACGTATATTAACTGCAGCCAGAATTGTATTCGCTCAATGTTGGGAAAAGGAAGATTTACCAACGGAGGAAGTGTTAATTTAAAAAAAAATAATCTTAAGAGTGTGCAGAAATGGATAGGCTGGCATTGAAAATGAAAGAGAAAGAAGACTCGGTTTATTTTAGAACCTGGGATACTTTTTATCATTGGCTAGAAAAACGAGGTAGAGAGAAAGGAACTTAACCTGTATTAGCAAGCTAAGTATTGAAATCCAGACAATATGTTGGCTGACAAAATATCAAGCACCTGTGATTATAAAAATGGTCTCTAATTATGCTAAAAATGCAAATCCTGGGTAAATCCATACCATAAAATAATCCGAACCCCAGGATAATACTAAAATCAAAACTGTTTAATTAAAAGCTGAGCCTTTCGTCGGTCAACACTACCGACATCATAAGAAGGACTCCCAGCAATCTTGCATCACGCTCTGATGATGTCGGTGGTGTTGACCGACGAAAGGCTCAGCTTTTAATTAAACAGTTTTGTTTTTAGTATTATCCTGGTGTTCGGATTATTTTATGATATATATGCATAGATATATACAGGAAGTTTTTCAGACAGACCGGTCTGATTGATTACACCTTGACATTTTAACTGCTATACTGCAGTTTTACTTTTTACAATATCTTTTGCCTTGCAGCCCCCCAACTAGGGGCGTTAAGCAGGCTCAAGTCGCAACTGCGAAACATTTAAATCCAAATTTCTTTTTCTGACAAAGAGTTAAAGAATTAAATTGGGAGACTAAGATAGCCATTTCGAGCTCGTTCTGCTCTCTTCAGTTAGCCACACCCTTTATGGGATTCGAACCTGGGCAGAAAAAGAAATTTGGATATAGATAGATAGATAGATAAATAGATAGATGAGAGAGAGAGAGAGAGAGAGAGAGAGAGAGAGATAAAAACAGGGGAGGATGGAGCACAGTTGGAACCTCCAGTTCCAAAAATATTTTTTTTAGGATAGGATGGCTTCGGAGATGCCGTGTCAGTTCACGGGGAGCAGCGGCCAAGGAAGGGAAGGATGTGAGATGGAAAGAAGGGAAAAAGGCAAAACAGCCCCAGGTTTAGTTCTAGGGAACGGTCCGAACGTTGCAGGATCTGGCTTACCTCCATGGCGTTGGTCAACATCCGAGTTAGCCTGAACGGGATCTTCTCCGGGAATTTCTCTCTGGTCATTGCCACCTAAAAACCCAGGCAAGGGAAGGCAAAGAAATGAAGAGAGGTTTCCAAAATAGGGAATGGTGAGTGCTGAAAGGTATTCCAGACTGTGGTTCAGGGTTCCTGATGTTTTAAGTTGCCCAAACTGATTCAGGCCCATGATAGTGAGGAGCAAAATGATGCCAGAATGGTTGCTGGAATTGGGTATGTTTAGTTTAGGGGTGACATGATAGCCGTGTTCCAATATCTCAGGGCTTGCCCCAAAGAAGAGGGGGTCAAGCTATTCTCCAAAGCACCAGAAGGCAAGAGAAGAAGCAACGGATGGAAACTAATCAAGGAGAGAAGCAACCTAGAACTAAGGAGGAATCTCCTAACAGTGAGAACAATTAACCAGTGGAACAGCCTGCCTCCAGAAGCGGTGAATGCTCCAACACTGGAAATTTTAAGAAGAGACTGGACAGCCATTTGTCTGAAATGGTATGGGGTTTCCTGCCTGAGCAGGGGGTTGGACTAGAAGACCTCCAAGGCCCCTTCCAATTCTCTCATGCTGTTATTCTGTTCTGCCTAATTTTCTATTCAATGTCTTTCCTGATCTTCATTCCTCTTTGGATTCAGCTCCTGCTTTCCCGCAACAGAAAAACCCTGAAGGACCCATGTTTAAGTTAACATAGATAGATAGATAGATAGATAGATAGATAGATAGATAGATAGATAGATAGATAGATAGATAGATAGATAGATAGATAGATAGATAGAGAGAGAGAGAGAGAGAGAGAGAGAGAGAGAGAGAGATTAGGTCTGTCTGTGTTTCTTGTTGCTTCAGCCTTGAGTGGACATGAAATAAGGACTGATTTTTCTTTGTCTTTATGTTAACTTCCACCGAGTGCTTCATTTTCTAAAAAAGCAAATCTTACCTCAAAGCAATCTCCAAAGTCGATGTGCAGGATTTTGCCACTCAGCCGGTCCAGCATAAGGTTGGAGGGATGCCTGTTTAAAGGAACCACCCTATTTACTGGACAATTTGTGGCAGGAACTCAGAATAGCACATCTTGTAATTAACACCCTACTCCCAAACGATTAAATAAAGCGTAATTCTTCTCCTCGGCTCAGTTCTTCAATTCCCTCGTCTTTCCAAACTTTAGGTCGGTATTTATCTATGGGCACTGCGTACAATTCAGCTAATTGGCTTAGCTTACTGCTATTAATTACGATTTATTAACAGCTGGTGTCTGTGAACAGGGAAGGGATTGTGAACAGCTTTTTTATTCTTTAGGGAAATAAGTTTAGTTTCACTTGCCTGTCCCCGAGACCCAAAATGTAGCCAACCATTGACATCACAGCTAACGAGCGGGTGTAATTTGTTCTTCGGTCAAACCACACCTACAGAGAAAACAGTAAATCAAAAAGTGGGTGATTTATGCCTAATTGGGACTTTCTTTCTTTCTTTCTTTTTCTTTCTTTTCTTCTTTCTTTCTTTCTCTTTTCTTTCCTTCCTTCTTTCTTTCCTTTCTTTTTTCTCTTTCCTTTCCTTTTTCTTTCTTTCTCTCTTTCCTTCCTTCCTTCCTTTTTCTTTCCTTTTTCTTCCTTCCTTTCTTTCTTTCCTCTTTCTTTCTTTCTTTCTTTCCTTTCTTCCTTTCTTTCCTTCCTTCTTTCTTTCTTTCCTTCTTTCTTTTCTTTCCTTCCTTCCTTCCCTTCCCTTTTTTCTTTCCTTCCTTCCTCCCTTTTCTTTCCTTTTCTTTCTCTCTCTTTCCTTCCTTCCTTTCCTTTCTTTTTCTTTCTTTCCTTTTTTTCTTTTTTTCTTTCTTTTCTTCCTTTCTTCTTTCCTTCCTTCCTTTCTTTCCTTCCTTTCTTCCTTCTTTCCTTTATTTCTTTCTTTCCTTCCTCTCTTCTTTCTTTCCTTTCCCTCTTTCCTTCCTTCCTTCCTTTCCTTCCTTTTCTTTCCTTTCTTTCTTTCCTTCCTTCCCTTCCCTTTTCTTTCCTTTTCTTTCTTTCCTTCCTTCCTTCCTTTTCTTTCCTTTCTTTTTCTTTCTTTTCTTTCTTTCTTTCCTTCCTTCCTTCCTTTCCTTTCTTCCTTCTCTTTCTTTTTTTTTTATTTCTTTCCTTCCTTCCTTCCTTCCTTCCTTCCTTCCTTCCTTCCTCCCTTTCTTTCCTTTCCTTTCTCTCTTTCTTTCCTTCCTTCCTTCCTTCCTTCCTTCCTTCCTTTTCTTTCCTTTTTTCTTTCCTTTCCTTCTTTCTTTCTTTCTTTCTTTCTTTCTTTCTTTCTTTCACAAAAAGAATGTGGAACAGCAGCCGTTTCAGCTCTTAACACAGATATTTGAAAACGGGAACCATGGAGTGGAGCGTTTTATCCATGTGACAATTTATCCATGTTCTGCTCTAATCTTGACTGGAAGACAAGAAGGGTTGACAAGAAGGACCAGGAATGGTGCCTTGGTTGTACCTCTGAGCTGGGGCTCTTGAGCCACAGAAGCTTGGCCAGGTCATCCCCAGCTGTATTGTTGACTGCATGTTCAAACACTTCCACCTTTTGCATGAGAGTGAGATGATCGTAATCGGGAGCCATCTAAGAATAATTAGATTAACAACATCCATGAGCCATTAATATTCTTTTCAAGGAAAAGGAAAAAGATTGAACAGGTAGGGAAGAAATGCAGGGACCTTCCTGTTACTACTGAGTGTGTGGCCGCTGCTCCAGAGAGCAAAACAAACCGCGTATGGCTACATCAAGCCGTGTTTCCTTAGCCCGAGATTCAGGGACAGGATCAGAGAGTTGCGAAACTCCTAAAGATGGGGCAGGTGGCAGGAGCTCACCCTCAACATGATGCGGTGTTCAATGTTGAGCAGGATCTTCTTCTTCTCCCGGTAGTCTCGAATGAGCGCGTGCAGAGTGTCGCAGTGAGGCACCCAGCCTATAAGCCCGGAGTTGGTGGAAAGAGGGATCACCGCATAGCGCTGGATGCTGGAGGAGAAGAAAGGAGAAAAGGCTGGACTTTGTGCTCACAGACAAATGGGATTAAAAACGAGGGTCACAGACAGGTGGAGGCTGAACGACATGCTCTCGTAAGGACTTCACACAATCTGTTGGCTTAGCTCAGGGGTGGGCAACCTGGGCTCTTTTATGACCGGTGGACTTCAACTCCCAGAATCCCTGAGCCAGCATGGCTCAGCTTGGAAACCTCTCCCTTTCCCCTCAGCATGGCTGGCTCAGGAATTCTGGGAGTTGAAGTCCACGAGTCATAAAAGAGCCAAGGTTGCCTATCTCTGGCCTAGGCCTAGGCCGCTTTATGACTCGTGGACTTCAACTCCCAGAATTCCTGAGCCAGCATAGCTCAGCTTGGAAACCTCTCCCTTTCCCCTCAGCATGGCTGGCTCAGGAATTCTGGGAGTTGAAGTCCACGAGTCATAAAAGAGCCAAGGTTGCCTATCCCTGGCCTAGTCTGTGCAGCCATTAGGTCTACAATAAGGCCCATTTAGAGCAGGGGTCTTCAAACTAGGCCAGGGGTAGGCAAACTAGGCCAGGGGTAGGCAACCTTGGCTCTTTTATGACTCATGGACTTCAACTCCCAGAATTCCTGAGCCAGCATGGCTCAACTTGGAAACCTCTCCCTTTCCCCTCAGCGTGGCTGGCTCAGGAATTCTGGGAGTTGAAGTCCACGAGTCATAAAAGAGCCAAGGTTGCCTACCCCTGAGTTACTAGGAAGATGAGGGGACTTCAACTCCCAGAATCCCTCTGCCAGCATGCCCCCTATGTCAGGAATAGGCAACCTTGGCTCTTTTATGACTCGTGGACTTCAACTCCCAGAATTCCTGAGCCAGCATGGGGGAACTATGGCCCCCTCATGACTTGTGGACTTCAACTCCCAGAATTCCTGAGCCAGCATGGGGGAACTATGGCCCCCTCATGACTTGTGGACTTCAACTCCCAGAATTCCTGAGCCAGCATGGGGGAACTATGGCCCCCTCATGACTCGTACACTTCAACTCCCAGAATTCCTGAGCCAACGTGGGGGAACTATGGCCCCCTCATGACTTGTGGACTTCAACTCCCAGAATTCCTGAGCCAGCCTGGGTCAGCTTGGAAACCTCTCCCTTTCCCCTCAGCATGGCTGGCTCAGGAATTCTGGGAGTTGAAGTTCACCAGTCATAAAAGAGCCAAGGTTGCCTATCCCTGGCTTAGCTGAAGCAGCCTGTAATCATGGCCAATTGAGCATCACACAAGGCCCCTGCTGGCTTTGGCACCTCCATGCTACTTCCTCCCTTCCTTAAAAAAACGGGATTACAAAACTATCGGCAGCATTCAAAACATTCTTAAAGACTTGTCCAATCCCGGACATTCTTTTTTTGAACTATTACCGTCTAGCAGGATAATAAAAACAAAAGACAAATACATTGAAAAATAGTTTTTATCCCAGAGCTGTAACCGTATTAAATATTACTGTATAGTGCAACACTGAAGTGCAATGTTAGGGGCAGAGCAACGGTGAATAGAATGTGAAGGATGCGTGTATATGATGTAAGTTTTTACTTGTGGTTTTTTACTTGTGTGTAGTGTGCACTGTGGACAGCACTTAATTTCGCTGTGAGATACAGAATGACCATAAACGTATTCTATTCTATTCTATTCTATTCTATTCTATTCTATTCTATCTTATCCTATCCTATCCTATCCTATCCTATATTTCTTATTCCATTCTATTCTATTCTATTCTCTCTTCTCTCTTCTCCTCTCTTCTCTATTCTATTCTCTATTTCTTATTCTATTCTATTCTGTTCTCTATTCTATTCTCTATTTCTTATTCTATTCTATTCTATTCTATTCTATTCTCTGTTCTCTATTCTATTATATATTTCTTTATTTCTTTATTCTATTCTATTCTATATTCTCTTATATTCCATTCCATTCTATTCTGCATTCTATTCTATTCTATTCTATTCTATTCTAGTCTAGTCTAGTCTAGTCTAGTCTAGTCTATATTCTCTTATATTCCATTCCATTCCATTCCATTCCATTCCATATTCTATTCTATTCTATTCTATTCTATTCTATTCTATTCTATTCTATTCTATTCTATTCTATTCTATTCTATTCTATTCTACTCTACTCTACTCTACTCTATTTTCTATTCAAGAAGGCGTCTAGTAAAGTTACGGCAACTCCACCAAAGGTCTCTCCTCTCCCTTACAACACCACTAGAGCTTCCTCCAAAGTGATGCCTTTCTAATTTCTCCCTTTTGTGCCAAGGGAGATCACGCTACCCATCTTTTCTAACAAGCCACTTATGCTGGCTGGGATGAAGGCAGAGGAGGCACCTGAGGTTTTTACGGAGAGATGTGGGGTCGTTGGCGAGAAGCGTGTTCACGAGGCCGAAGAGCTGCATCACTCGCTCATCCTGGCGAAGGTCCTCGTGCCCTTTCAGAAGAAACACGAACTCGTGCCCGTTGCTCCCTGTGGAAGGGGAAAAAGATCTGTTCAGGTGTGTGAAACTGTGTGAAGCCAAGAAAGGGCTTGTATCTGGGGAAAATTAGAAGATGTAGTTATTACGTTGTTTTGATTAAAGTTCCTACAGTCGAATAATAAGCACGCACACCGCCCTTGCTAAGCTGAGAAGGAACAGGGCAAAATACACCAGAGCAGAACAGAATTCTGTAGGCCAAACATTTGCTGATCTTTCCCAAGCTTCTTCAACTGTCACTAGACCCATCAATTTGACACTTCTGCTTTCTTAGCCTGGAAGCATTTTATTACTGGACTCCTTAAAGCAGTGATGGCGAACCTTTTAGAGACCGAGTGCCCAAACCGCAACCCAAAACCCACTTATTTATCGCAAAGTGCCAGGGGCCCATCAGCATTGTGGTGCCCTCAGGGGGGCACACAAAAACCAGGGGTGCAAAAACAGCCACCGCCACGCCGCGAGGTGCAGATACAAGGCGCTGCACCAAGCAAGAATGGGGCAGGGTTAGTGAGTATCACGCAGGCACTACCCCTGCCTCATTTGCAGCGTGTGCATACTTGCGGCCCCGTACATGCACGCGCACACGTAAAATACTTCCCGCTCCCTTTTCTTCCAGTCTGCCAATGGTTGGTGACAATGGTAGGTGACCTCTGCTCTACCACCTCTATTCGAGCTTGCTAGTCGGCCGCTTCGCCTCCTTTGTGCTGGGCGGGGCTCCTGCTCCGGGCGGTGGTGGCGGCCTGATGGACCTGCTGCTGGCGGCGGTGGTGCGTGTGCCAACAGAGAGGGCTCTGAGTGCCACCTCTGGCACGCGTGCCATAGGTTCGCCACCATTGCCTTAAAGGATCTGGCTCATGAAGTGGACAGCCACAAGAAATCGATTTTGTTCGGCATCCTGAGAGGTACACGGATGGGGATGTGGCTGACCAAGGAATCACGGCACCGGCTCGCTCTCCCGATGCGGTGTCTTTTTTAACTGGACGCCGTTCCGCAAGAGAGAACCGGCAATTGACACATCTGGAACCCAAGGGAAGTCGGAGACCTCAGAGGAAACCCAAGGTGTCTTTGCTCGTCAATTTTTCTCACCCATTAAGGTCAACTTCCTCGGCCTCTGCTTGGAGGTGATCACTTGCAGGGAGGGCGCGATGGACTGAATGCGGATGATCTGCTGATTCGGGTCGTACGTTCCCGGGACGGCCAGCTCCAAATCGCGGCACATCAGGAGTTTGGGAGAAACGTACTGAAGTTCCAAGGAAGTCAGCTGTTGGCAAGACGGGAGGAGCAGCTTAGGACGGGTTCCAAAAGGTTGGGAAAAAAAATACTAACGGAGCTAACAATCCTCATGGCTGGACTTCACAGAGAGCTCGCTGACTGGCACGTAACCAGGATATCCTGTAATAAAATGGAAGTCCCTCCCAGTGGCCATTCCTAACACAGATATGACCAGGTAACATAAACTACATTACCCAGAAGGCTATCCCTTAAGGGAACAGTCCTTAATTCCTAAGCTAGCTATATACTCTGACCAGCACAGGGAGTAAGGATTCTCTCCCCCCCCCCCCACAGACCTGAGGCAGCTGCTTGGAGATGCGGCGGAAGACGTGGTAGTACAGATCCCAAGCCTGGGTGAGATCCTTGACGTTTCCCGACTTCATATATTTACGGCACCACTCCTGGGCCTCCATCAGATCTCTGCCGTAAGCCTGCGGGAAAAGAAAGAGTTGCTGTGGGCTGACGGGCACGTCAAAGGCGGATCTGGAAATTCCTTCCCCCCCCCCCAGAAAAGCAATTTAAAATAGCAATGATTGGGGCTTCTGTCTTTCCCCGATCCTCAACTAAAGCTAGCAATTTATTGCTCGTGGCTTTGGGCTGATCGCTGGATGACCCTGGACATGGCATCTCGTAATTCATTATGCCGGAGGTTGCAAGAGCCGTGGTGGTGCATGGTTAGAATTCAGCATTTGCAGGCAGTTCGATCCTGACCGACTCAAAGTTGACTCAGCCTCCCGTCAGGATGGTAAAAGGAGGACCCAGATTGTTGGGGGAAGAAGGGGGGGCAATAGGCTGACATTGTAAACCACTCAGAGAGGGCTGTAAAGCACTGTGAAGTGGTATATAAGTCTGAGTGCTATTGCTATTGCTATTGTTCTTCCCTTCCTTCCTTCCTTCCTTCCTTCCTTCCTTCCTTCCATTCACCACCCACCCACCCACCCACCCATGGTATGCAATGGTAAAACTGCAGCATTGAAGACTGACTTTGCCCACAGCCAGGAGTTCGATCGTGACTGGCTCAAAGCTGACTCAGCCTTCCATCCTTCTGAGATTGGTAAAATGAGGATCTAGATTGTTGGAGGGGTGGGGGCAATAGGCTGACTTTGTAAATCACTCAGAGACGGCTGTAAAGCACTGTGAAGTGGTATATAAGTCTGAGTGCTATTGCTATTGTTCTTCCCTTCCTTCCTTCCTTCCTTCCTTCCTTTCTTGCATCCATCCATCCATCCATCCATCCATCCATCCATCCATCCATGGTATGCAATGGTTAAAATGCAGCATTGCAGGCTGACTCTGCCCACAGTCTGGTGTTCGATCCTGACCGGCTCAAAGTTGACTCAGCCTTCCATCCTTCCGAGGTCGGTAAAATGAGGACCCAGATTATTGGGAGGGAGGGCACTAGGCTGACTTTGTAAACCGCTCAGAGAGGGCTGTAAAGCACTGCAGAGCGGTATATAAGTCTACGTGCCCTTCCACTCCAAATTATTGGGATTTCTTTTTCCCTGCGCGCAGCCTGGAAGGTGATTTTGTTTCTCCCGGACAGGCCGGCCCCTCTTTTGGGTTGGTACCTGATTGAAGGAGGTCTCCTTGAGGGTCTGAGGCCCCCGCTCCATCATGGCGTGCAGCGGCTCCAGCACCTCGAACATCCCCTTCACGTTCCTCTCCCCGAAATAGAGGCGGGACGCTTCCTCCAGCCCTTCATGCCACATCTCATGCCACAGGATGGCCACGCGGATCAGCTCTTCGCTCACCTGGTTGCAGAGAAGAGGGAGGCCCCCCCGGGAGAGGTTAATAGGCAAAGGGGAGGGAGGGGTGGGTGCTGGCATTCAACAGCAGGGGAGGTCGAGGGTTCGTAGACCCAGGCAATATTCAATCAATATAGCAAGCTTTCTGTCTTGAGTTTGTATAGAAGCAGCTTCAGCCACAGCATCAGAGCGCTAACCCAGACTGACTGCTAGAGGAAGCCACACCATGGGCCTCAGTAGGTGCACAAAAAGCTTCTTACACAATTCCAGCATCTGTAACAGAGGGGATCCCTTCTTATAGATCGGTGGCCATATTTACAGATCCAATCTAAACATAGCAAGGACATGGAAAAGTACGGAATAAACCAGACCCCCACAGCAATTGGATAAAAATTTTAACAGGTAAGGAAGGAAAATTTCTCACAAAAACCTATACATATTTATTAGAGGTAGATTTGGAGGAAGAAATCGTGAAAGGGCCAATGATCGCGTGGGCACGAAATGCAGGCCGAAATATAAAACTGGAAGAATGGGAAAGATTATGGAACAGAAATTGTAAACTGACATGGTCAACTGCCTATAGGGAAAATCAATATAAAATGTTCTATAGATGGCATTTAACACCGTCGAGATTGGCTAAAATGTACAAAAATATGAATCTGGAATGCTGGAAATGCAGAAATAAGGAGGGAACATTCTATCGTATGTGGTGGCTGTGCCCTAAAGCAAAGATCTATTGGGAATAGATAAGGAACTGGATACAGGAGATAACAAAGGTGAAAATTGAACTCAAACCCGAACTATTTCTTTTGGGTATAAAGTTTAAAGATGGAAAAATAACTCCAATACATCATTGTACATATATTAACAGCAACCCGCCTAGTATATGCCCAGTGTTGGAAAGGTGAAAACATACGTACAAATGATGTGATTATATATAAAATACTAGAATGCGTGGAAATGAACAAACGTACGCTAGAACTAAAAGACAAGGAGGCAACAGAATTCTACGAGATATGGAACAAATGTTATGATTGGCTAGAACAGAGGAACAAAAAGATATGATTACTAATGTAAATAATTGTAAATAATATATATGAGATGTATAACACAGTACTGTTAAGGAAAAAAATGTATTTTTATTTTTGTTGTATAGTGAAAAAGGAATAAATAAATTAAAAAAAACAAAACAGAAGGGATCCCCGCGGGGCCTTTAGCAAGCTCTTGTTCCCATTTCTTGTTTTAGCCACAGCAGAGGGCGTGCATGGAGCGAAGGGGGCTTCAACAGATGGGCAGTTTCCCCAAATTTGCAATGAGAGTCTCATTCTCTACCCGAGCTTGCTTTAAGTGGAATTAAGTAGTTATAGTCCTGAGGAAGGGCAACAGCTTGGAAGAGATTACCCAAATAAGGATTATAAACGTTAATAAGCCAGAACAGAACCATATGTGCCACGAAGGCAGAGACTGGTGGGGAAACAGAAAAGATTTTTTTTTTTTTAATATAAAACTTTAAAAGAAATCCACTCTTTCGGAGCTCCGATCAGATTCTTTCAAACGGTGCATACACGCGGGCAGAAACAAGAAAAAAATAAGCCTCAGTGCTTGTAAAAACTGAATAAAATAATAAAAGGGGAAGAGCAGTTCTACAGAGGCAAAGCTGGTCGTTGGGACCGAACGGGGAAGCTAAAGTCCGTTGAAATGATATAAATCTAGGAAAACCAGGGTGAGAATATGAAAGAAGGAACAGGCTCGTTTCCTGCGGTTTTTGCCTGTGGTGAAAGGATGGCGGGGAGATGCAGAGAGGAGCATGCACATATGTATAGGTTACCCACCATCACGGCTTGCTGGACGAGGGTGTTGCTGTGTTCACACATGTTTTTCAAGATCTTGTTAGCAGCATTGTGTCGGGCTGTCGTCGTTGACTTGGAAGCAACCGTCAGAGGATAGATCAGGGCCTACAGGAGGAGTCAGAAAGGAACAATCCATCAAAACCTGGTTAGTTTGGAGTCTGAAAGGCCTGTGTGTCTGAACGTAGGGTTATCTCACCTGGGGATGGTACCTTCCAATGTCGGTGAGCAGCTGGTAAATAAGTCGTCCCACTAAAGGCCGAGGTGTGTCGATTCTGGCGATAAGCTGTGGGATCACCTGATTTTCAGGGAGGGGGGGAACAAGAGAAGGAGAGAGGAGAGAGATAAGCAGGCAGCTGCCACTCAACACATTTCTACTATCCCCTGCAGCAGGCAGAGCTTCCCATTTCAAAATCCAGAGCTCCATGTCAGAAGCCAGGTTGTTAGCTGGAGAACGGGCCCTGCCAAAGAAATGGCCACACTACACAAGAAGGAGGAAGAATATTTTGCTGATATCACATCGCTGCATCCAGTTTGGGTCACCACGATGTGAAAAAGATGCTGAGACTCTAGAAAGAGTGCAGAGAAGAGCAACAAAGAGGATCAGGGGACTGGAGGCTAAAACATAATAAGGAACAGCTGCTGGAATTGGGTCTGTCTAGTTTCATGAAGAGAAGGACGAGGGGGGACAGGATAGCAGCCTTCCAGTCTCTCGGGGGCTGCCGCAAAGAAGAGGGAGTCAAGCTATTTTCCAAAGTGCCTGAAGGCAGGACAAGAAGCAACGGATGGAAACTCATCAAGGAGAGAAGCAACCTGGAACTAAGGAGAAACTTCCTGACAGTTAGAACAATTAACCAATGGAACAACCTGCCTCCAGAAGTTGTGAATGCTCCAACACTGGAAGTTTTTAAGAGACTGGACAGCCATTTGTAATGGTATGGGGTTTCCTGCCTGAGCAGGGGGTTGGACTAGATGACCCCCAAGATCCCTTCCAACTTTATTATTGTTGTTGTTGTTGTTGTTGTTACATGTCAGCAGATGCCCATGTAGAAGTGGGCAGGCTGGCTGGGGAATTCTGGGAGTTGCCCAGATTGAGAAACGCTCCCGGAAGAGTTAAGATAAGGCAGTTGGTACTTCAAAGCAGCCCCTTACCTGGAGCCAGGTGTCGATCTGGATGGCCTTGACCCCTTCCACCAAGGCTTCATTGACCTCTGGCCAGTGGCCGTAGTCAAACCACAGTGTAAGAACCCTGGAGAAAAGCAAACCCATCCCATTAGCTCTGTTTTCTTCTCTAGGGAAGGCAACGCAAAGGGGAGGCACGACTTTGCCCCTGGGCTTGCCCTCCCGCCCCCAAATCTGACGATTCAAATCAAATCAAATCAAATCAAATCAAATCAAATCAAATCAAAAGGCACCTGAGAGTATCCTGCAGATTGTTTCCCCGAGACAAAGAGATGGATCGGAAGAAGCCTTGGACTGCCGGCACAGTGTACATCAGGAGCGTTTTGGACAAATCCTGTCGGGAAAAAGAGAAGGAGGGATGAGTCTTTTTCTCTCTCCCCCCCCAAATAAGGGGGAGTCGAGGATTTCTTGCAGGGGGAGGCTCTGCCCCCCTGGGACCAGCCTGACCTCCGCGGCCTTCTTCTGCACAGGAGAAGGGGCCGGGCTGTTCTCCGCGCTCTCGGCCTCGCTTTCGCTGTTGCTGCCTTCCGTGTTGGCGCTGGTGACGCTGGTCCCGCTGGCGTGGCGCAGCTTCTTCTTCTCGTCCCGGGCCTGGTTCTGGAGCTTGTAGTGCAGCACCGCCTCGAAGTTCATCACGGCCCAGGCGTGCCAGGCCTGGAAGAGAAGAGGCCCCACTTGGCACGGTCTGGCGCTCCCCGGTGGGCAGCGCCAGTTCGGCCCTCCAGCCGTTGCTTCGCCTTTTAGGTTTCAAAAAGCCTCCGTTTCCCCCCCCCCCGGAAGCAAAACTTAATGGACTGTATCCTCCTTTCCCCAATTTTCCAGGGAACAACCTTGCAAAGTAGACTCGGTGTCTTTTCCTCTGATGGCTGGGACTCTCTCTCCTCTTGGTCTGTTGACCTCTTTCGAGGGCGATGACGCAATCTGGTTTTTCCTAACCAATCCCCCCTCCTTTCCCCCCCTTTGCTTTTCTGTCAAACCTACAGTTGTTCCCTTTAAACCTTAACTACGCAGGCCACACAAGTTTCCCTGAATGTTGTGTGCTGCTGAGTCAGGGTCCAATCTGGGTCGGTCGCCGGGACCAGGAGTTTTTGCCTTCCGAGCTTTTGGACTTGTGCTGGAGCCCATCATCCTCGGGGGGGGGGGGCTTCTGTGTAGCTCATAAGGCTAAATCTCTGGTCCTGGTTGACCGACCCAGATTGGAACCGGCCATGTTATCCCGGGACACACATATATCCGCCTTCATTCGTGGGCTAGAGAGAAGTCCCCTGAAGATGGGAGGTTCAGACAGGAAGGCGCCCGTGCAGAGAGTGGTGAGGACGGCAGAAAAGATCATTGGCAGCTCCCTCCCTCCCATCCAGGACATGGCTTGTGCAGGGTCCGCAAGATTGTCTGGGACACTACACATCCTCTTCATGACCTGTTTTCCTTGCTACCTCCTGGGAGGGGGCTTCGTGGTATCCGTAGCAGAACATCCAGAGTCAGCCATAGTTTCATTCCATACAGCGTTAACCTTGTGAACTCTCAAGCTTCCTCCTTCTGTTATGTATTCAAGATGGACAGTATTTAATATTTATTTGCTACGTATATGTAGGGGTGTGGGTCTATACCAGGGTAGGCAACCTTGGCTCTTTTATGACTCGTGGACTTCAACTCCCAGAATTCCTGAGCCAGCATGGCTCAGCTTGGAAACCTCTCCCTTTCCCCTCAGCATGGCTGGCTCAGGAATTCTGGGAGTCAAAGTCCACAAGTCATGAAGGGGGCCATAGTTCCCCCATACTGGCTCAGGAATTCTGGGAGTTGAAGTCCACGAGTCATAAAAGAGCCAAGGTTGCCTACCCCTGGTCTATACATATGTTGGACATAGTATGTTTTAGGTGTGTGTCACGTACGTGTTTCACTTTGAGAGCGGGCAACTAAATTTCATTTTTTGATGTGTGCCGTTGGGCCCACGATTAAAAAAAAATGACAATAAAGGTTCTCTTATCTATCTTATCTTATCTGAAAGCTCGGAAGGCAAGACCTCTGGTTCCGGCAACTGGACAGAACGGAACCGGCAACCTTATCCTGGGACAGGCCTTCACAGCTTAGCCAATTGGTAGTCATCCAAAGCCAATTCTAGCTGCACCGTTAGCGATGCAAATGAAAATGGGAACGTTGTTTCCTCAACATTTCAGAACCTCAAGGCTGGTCAGCCCTTGACTTGGCTTCCTTTAGCACCTCCGTTGCTTTCCCAAGTTTCAGACCAAGGTGAGTCCTCCTGGGTGAGAAAACCTGGTTCCTGGCTTGACGCGTGCTGACAAGGCACCGAAGCGGCCGCGGGGCCTGCCTGCCCTCCTCTCTCTCTCTCTCGACTTACTTTGTACCAGTTGCGGTCGTGCTCCGTAGAGGCGCTGTAGTACTGCAGGACTTTGGGAATGGTGCTCTCGTTGATGCCTTGCAGGTTCAGCTGCCACTCTCCCAGCTTCAGGAAACACCTGAGAACAGGACAACAAAATCTGGGTTAGCAACATGATGATGATGATGATGGAGGAGGAAGAGGAGAAGGAGAAGGAGAGAGGGGGGGAGGAGAATATCCAAAGTCAAATCCAACTCTTGGCGATTCTATGGGCCAAGTCTCTCCACTTCTTCTAATTGTGCACTATTTATTTATTTTTTTCCTATGCTGTACCTGGGGTCAGCTTTGTGTCCAGGCACCATCTTCTTTGAAGGCCTGGTTTCCTTTTACCGCTAACTCTTCCAAACCTAATTGCTTTCTCCAGTGTGAAATGACAGGGCCCAATAGGTGAGAGGCAGGTTCGTGATTTTTGCCTTCCAGTGACGTGTCCGGCGTTAGGCGCCTCCAGTACTTGCTTGTTAGCCACCTTTGTTGTTCAAGGAGCCAACGTGACATCTTGGTTAATAGTTTCACTGTCGGGAGCTAACTGGCCCCAATCCTGGCTCTGGATCCTGGAGGATCAGCCAGAAAGAGGCCACTGTCCACCTCTGGGGGTATAACTGCATCAAGGGAACTCGCAAAAGCATAAATGTCTCCTTAGGGAGTCTTAAGTGCCTTTTGAGCTACTGATCCCGTTTCCAGAGAGGGCCTTGGTGCAAATTCAAATTTGAAGACCCCCTATCTAATGCAGGGGTCTTCAAACTTGGCCCTTTGATGACTTGTGGACTTCAACTCCCAGAATTCCTCAGCCAGGCTGAGCCAGTTGAAGTCCACAAGTCATCAAAGGGCCAGGTTTGAAGACCCCTGATCTAAAGAGATAATATTTACTTCCTTCTTGCAACCATCTTATTCTGGTTTATTGGAACCAGATATGGGTACCTGTACACAAAGGATATGAGTAGATGAATTTTTAATCATGTAGAAGTCAGAAATAAGAAGCTTCCCCTTAGGGCAGGCCTCCCCAGCCCCTGGTCCATGGACCAGCAGGGGTTCCCAGCATGCCACAAAAACAATCCATGCAAACAAGCGAACTCCCATCCGTGAGATGCAGGCGGCATGAGAAACCATGCCCTGTCCGGTCCACGGAAAAAGCTCTCTCCACGGAACCGGTCCCTGGTGCCCAAAAGGTTGGGAGGCCACTGCCTTAGGGGTGCCGTTTCTGGGTTTAGCAAGGCAGTCGCTCACCGGGCCATGAGCTTGTGGAGTTCCTGTCGGTGCTGCTGGTCTTCGGTGGCGATGGCATGCTGGGCTTGCTGCTGCATCATCTGGACGAAATGCTGCATGTGCTGGAAGGCTTCGATCTGCAAGATAGGAGGCGGCCCCGAGGGGTGGCCATGCATTACCCCTGGGTCACTGAGGACTAGGAGACTGCCCGGCTCCTTCTCAGGCACCATGTAGGGCTTCCTCTCCTCTGCTTGGAAAAGCCACTGGCATTCTGAGCTCGCCCTTGACTTACAGAAGTTCGCTTAGGGGCCATTTGAAGTGGCGACAGTACTGGAAAAAGTGAGTTACGACCGGTTTTTTTCACACTTTTATGACCATGGCAGCCATCCCCATGCGATCAAACGTTGGGCTCTTGGACAACAGACTCACATTTACGACAGCCGTAAGTGTCCCCGGGGTCGTGTGATCCCCTTTTGCGACCTTCCGACAATCAAAGCCAATGGGGATGCCAGATATAATTTCACAACCGTGTTACTAGCTCAGGGGTGTCAAACTCAATGTCATTGAGGGCTGCATCAGCATTGCGGTTGCCCTGGGGGGTGTGGCCTACTGGGTGGGTGTGGATGGAGTAGGTGTGGCCTACTGGGTGGGCGTGGCCAGCTCTACATCGTTCGCGTCAAGGGGGCCTGTGGGGGCCTGGGCAGGAGTGGGGCAGATCTGAGGGTCTCTGGCAGAAGGGGGGGGGACCGGGGCAAGCGCCAAGGCATGGTCCATTTCTTCATTCCTCACAAAGGGGGACCCCTCCCCAACATGCACCCAGGGGGCGGGGCCAACGCGGCAGGGGCTGGTTCCTCGCTGTTTCTAGACAGCCTTGTGGAGCTAAGACTGAATGCCTTTCAGCATAGATGGCCACCACAACATTGTACCTTGGCTCCCAGCTGGCCTGGGCCAGGGCCAAGGCAGAGGGGGCCGTTCCCTCACTGTTTCCAGGATGGCTTCGTGGGCCACATGAAACCACATCGCGGGTTGCATCCAGCCCCCGGGCCTCGTGTTTGACATGTCTGTACTAGCTTAACAAACGTGGCCTGGATGACGGAGAATCTCCATAGACATTGAGCCATGCCCTTTGGGAGGAACACCCTTCGGATTGTGCGGGAGGGTGAACAGATTTCCAGAAAATATGGCAGACTCCAGGAACCATTCTGCGCTTCGGTTGGAGATGCAGACAACACAGACTCATCTCCAACAGCCTGTGCCTGTCTTCAGCAGTGATGGGACCCA